CTTATATTTCTGATGCATATGAGAATATGATCATTGAACCGACTAAATTGAAAATTTCTAATGGTTAATATTACTTTAAACTGTCAATAGTATTCTCTTATTTTGATAAGATGTAAGAATTTTCTTAAACTTGAGATCATTATGTTAATTGATAAGTCATTTATTATACTTTGATTCCGAACACCTATAGTTATAGAACTGTAGTTAAAAAAATATTAAGTGTGATTAAATACTTGTAGAATTAATGATTGGTCAAGACAGAATCTGTCAATTTGAGTAATAAGTTTGAGCTATATGTTGTCATTTATTATAATGACTAAATTAAGATTTTTGTTAAGTCAGTTGAATGAAAAAATAAAAAAAATTTCTTATGTTATTTATTAGTCAATTATAATTGACATGAAACATAGTTAGTTACCTGTTGGGATTTGACGGTTAAATCATATTTTAAAATTAATCCGAAACAATAATGACAGAAAAAAATATTATATATTTTTTTAGTAGGTTCTTAAAAGTAATTGTACATTTCATACTATCCGATCATTGAGGAGTATTGTTATATGTTAACTTTAATTAGTAAATTGATTTGAGCAATTTGTTACCGATTTAGTGTTGAATTTATGGAGTCGCACACTAACGAGTGTTCTAATTTTTACTAAATAGATTAATTATTTTAATTATTTAAAAATTAAATTAAAAAATTTAATTTAATCAAATTAATAAATTTTTCGGTGTAAATAGAATATTATTATATTCTTTATTAGCATCGAGAATATAATTAATATTATAGATAAATTAAATTTTTTATTTTTAAAATAGAAAATTAATATTTATATTTTAGTTATTATATTATTAGTATAATAATATAATATATGTGGTTATTATAATAATTAAAATTATTATAAAATTTAATTTAAAATTAAATTAGGTTATAAAATTATTTTATTAAATAATAATAATTTAAAAGGATAAACATATATATATATATATGAGATATATATATGTTAATATTTAGGTGTCATTATAAAAAAAAGGGGGGAAAGTGGATGAGTACAAATTTTCCAATAGGGACTCCTCCAGCCATACCACCTATATATATAAATATATATGATATATATATATGTGTGGGGTTTTTTTGAAGAGGGAGAGAAAATAATTAAAAAATCAGCGGTACAACAAAAGAAAGATGGGTGAATTTTTTTAAAGATTTTATTAGAAAATTTTAACATATTTATATTATTCAATTTATCTGTACCTTCCGTTAATTAAAAAATTAAACAAAAAAAATTGATTTTGATATAAATACACATAAACTGTTCGTATTTTTAAATAATTTTAATTTAAAAATTTGCTATCAGATATATTTTAAATTTAATTTTTGATCTGCAATATAATTTTAAAATAAAAATATATTAAATTAAATTATTATTTTTATATTCCGCTATATGTTATGCATATATTATAATCATCAACACATATTAGATATACTACATTTAGCATCATAGAATGCTTATAACAAAATATATAAATCATTAGAGTAAAAAATTTGAGACTCTCTGGTAAACTTTTTACTATTTGAAGATTTTCATAACTGTTTTAGTTTTTTAAAGTTATTTTCGGTCGACACAATTGTGAACCCACATTTTTCTCTCTTTGGAGACTAATCTTGATTGCCACTGGGATTATAAAAAAAGAAATGAGGGACTTAATAAGCAAATATTTAAGATAATGAAATGTTTAAATGTAAGAAATCAAGAAGAGATTGTGCGCTCTTGGCAACTCACTATCTATAGAAATAAGATTTTATATTTATAAAATTAGAGAAAATTAATTTTCTTTTTATGATATTAAATATAAAGTAACTTTTAAAATACGTCTGCATTAATTAAATTTGAAATGACTGTTATTTGTACTGTGAATTTTAAAAATATTATTTGTTGAATTTTTTATCAACAAATAAGCTTAATGTGAGTTTTAATGTGCGTAACAAATTATTAGTTTATTGGATCTATTTAATAATGATCAAATACGGTTAAACGGTTATGAACTTCAATGTATCAGGTTTAAGTATTAGCTTCTAATATGTACATATATCATATTTATAATTTCTCATTTTATGATAAGTAAAATGAGAATGATAAAAGTTGACGATATAAAAAGTCGATTATGATTCTTAAATCGCACGTGCGCTTAGTTTATTTCACATTATCCCATCATTAATAAAAATTAATTTTTTAGAATTGTGTATTAATTTGAAAAATCTATTATATTACACGAAAATTTCTCCCACTAGAGATTCAGGTACGCTTTCGTATTCATTCTTTTTTATTCAGTATGAATTTGCTTATAGTTTTCATATTTGATTTGGTTTAATTTCTATCAATGTTAAAAAAATTATTAATTAAAAATATTTCTAATTATGAAAAGTAATTATCACTTAAAAAAATTAAAATTGTGTGCTTTGTAAAAATAGTTTTTGGTGTCGAAATTACTACAAAATGTTTAAAAAGAGATTAAGTCAAAAATAGAAGTTATGTATTTTGTTAAAATAATATTAAAACTGAAATGATTTAACAAATTGATAAAAAAAATTTAATTTAAATTATCATTTGTACATTGGTATTAATCAGTATAAATATATAATTTAAATTATTAATTGTACGTTACTAGTATTATTTATACACTATATTTTATATTTTATATAATATATGTAATAATATACTTACATTACATATAGAAAGATAGTATATAAGTAATATTATATACATGCATACATACATATAGCATAATATAACTTTAATTTTCAAATACCCAGTTAAACAAAGCAGCGTCCAAAAAATAAACATAAAATCTAAAACCCATTTGGTTAATTTAAAAACCTTATGAAACCAATAAAAAGCGAATTTCTGGAAAACAAAAAAGCGTGAG